TATTTTCATCATATTTCTAACATCTAAATTTGCACATGTGTTCTAACTGCAAAATGAGCAAACACCTCGAAACAATTAGTAAAAACATAGAATCTACAGTAACATGAACAAACATATGACAAACAATTGGAACAAATGGGACCAACAATGGGACCAAACACAAATACAATTTTGTTCATATTGTTTGGCCGCCTATTTGTTTCTATATTAGATACCTATTTTTGATCTTTCCCTATTTTGTCTGTTTGTTCACCATGTTCATTTGTTTTTAAGTTCTCCAATGCCAAGCGTCATTCAGCTCAACGTGTAGGGGTTCCAAGGTTGCGGTAGATGGAAGGTATGGTAAAGTTAGACCCTCTAAGTAGCTTCTCAGGTGATAGTTGGAGCCCGCACCTTTTGGATAGGTGTGTTGAGGACTTCCTAACTGGAACAAACAATCAAACCATATCAAACCCAACATGGACGTTGGGCGACGATGCTCTGAAATATTCTGAAATACAGGTCAGTGTGCATGCCTCCACTCCATCCACCCGGAACTCTCCGCCCTGGACAGTGTGGGCCTCTAGTGACGCTCCCGCACAACGGCTACGCCTGACTCCCGGTCCAGGCGAGGAACAGGGTTCCAACAAAAAGCCCCAAAGGTGGGACCCCAACCACTCAAACTAACCGGAGCTCTTTGGACGTCGGAACTCCCGCGCCTGTATGTGCGTGCTCATCAGCTGGAACGTTTGGAGAGCATCTTTCCAGCTTGCGCAGCTGCTCAGCATGGTGTTGTAGGAGACCACATCCAACTGTCACTGCAAGTTCAGGTTGTGTAGCAATAAGGGGAAGCCTTTTGTTCTGGATTAAAACGATCTGCAGCCTTTGTTAACGAAGCTTCGCTGAGGTGAACCCTAACAAATCCAAAACCATCCTGGCCAGCTCACCCATGTCAAACAACCACATGTCTAATGAGGAAGTTTCATGTTCTGCTGGATCAAGTCCTGCAACAGACGCAGCAACAAAAGCAAGAGCAAGCATGAGTCTACCTAAACATACACATGATGCATAGGTCATCATAGGTCTATATATAGATCTTCCATCTTCTACCTGTCAAAAGCGCGTGGGGCACAAGATCAAAACACCTCAAATCATCTCAACAGGATGCTTGGAACGATGATTCCCTACCACTTGTGTTCGACTATTTCAGCAATGTGGTGATTGTTCCTGTTCGTTCCAAAGACACCATGCCACACATATCCGCACATGTTTTTCCTTCTCCTCCTTACTTGTAGATTCACCCCAAAGCCCCCCAATACACCGCCTCCACCCCTTCGCGCCCTCAGACTTCACTCAGATGCCCCCCACCTGGATCTGTAACACACGCATCTGCACCAAACAGCTTGCTTCCTTGGGCATCTGGGTCAGCAACAGGTTGCCCAGGAAGGGCTCAGGCCACAGGCGCTGAGCCAAGGCATTGAAGACCTGCCCCGGCACAAAAAACAGCTGATGCTCGGCGCATGAAGGGCTGGAGAAGCCTGGCTGGTGTGTAGGGAGAACGCCTGGCCCGGTAGACTGGGTAGACGGGTCGATTGTCCTTCCGACCTTCCTTTAAAAAGGGGTCGTTGCCTGAGAGGTCTCCCTATTTTCATACACACCCAAACCAACAGGTCTGTGGCAAAACTGAAAGCAGAACAACCGCGCTTCACGTGGCTTCACCGAGATGCCAGTTGAAGCGCTGATTGCCAATGTGGAAAAGCCTTGCGCGGCGCCAGGGTCGTGCTAGGTGGGATGATGGCCCCGGAAGGCACACGGTCGTAGCGTCCTCTTGCTCCGTTCGTAGCGATGCCCCTGGTTATTAGTAGCGATGCCTTTGTTCCTAGTAGCTTCTTGTTACTAGTAGTAATACCAGGAGCTAGTGGTGGGGAGATCCAGCATTTTCTGGAAGAGAGAAGGAAGGATGCTAATATCTATGCCCAGACAGGTTGCCTCTCACTGCCATGAATTCCATCAATCCTGCCGAAAATCACTCCGCTGTTTCCGTCTCGAACATGCAGCTGCGAGGCCCGTAAAGCATTGGCACAAGCTGTCGTGGAGAGCGGCAAGGTGCTGATCCTCGACCAAGAGTCTGACGGCGACAAGACAAAATCCAATCTTGATGGAAGAACTTGCAGTATGTATGTACTTCATATTTTCAATCGTATCAATAGGCCTTCTCCTGCATGCCTTAAGAAGACTATCCAGATATTGCAGTGTCCAATCATATATAGTATTATAAGCAATAACTAGACATAAATATACAGTTAATATATTGCTTTGCTGCTGTGCTCCGGTCAATGCATTGGGGTTTTCTTGCATGATGGGACATGCCATCGACGCGCTTGGACCGTCCGATGAGCGAGGTATAAAAAACAAGATGGAACCCACGAACCCGAATGCAAACACGATCGAAAAACTAATATGTCCAAAGGACACTCTTGTAGGACACTCTTGCGGGACACTCTGTAGGACACTCTTGTGGGCCACTCTTGTAGGAAACTCTTGTGGGACACTCTTGTAGGACACTCTTGTGGGACACTCTTATAGGACACTCTTGTGGGACACTCTTGTGAGACACTCTTGTAGAACACTCTTGTGGGTCACTTGCAGGACACTCTTGTGGGACACTCTTACACGACACGCTTGTAGGACACTCTTGTGGGACACTCTTGTAGGACACTCTTGTAGGACACTCTTGTCGGAAACTCTTATGGGACACTCTTGTGGGACACTCTTGTGGGACACTCTTATAGGACACTCTTGTGGGACACGCTTGTGGGACACTCTTGTAGGACACTCCTGTACGACACTCTTGTAGGACACTCTTGTGGGACACTCTGCGGGACACTCTTGCGGGACACTCTTGTGGGACACTCTTGTGGGACACCTTGTGAGACACTCTTGTGGGACACTCTTGTAGGACACTCTTGTGGGACACTCTTATAGGACACTCTTGTGGGACACTCTTCTGGGACACTCTTGTGGGACACTTTTGTGGGACACTCTTGTAGGACACTCTTGTAGGACACTCTTGTGAGACACTCTTGTAGAACACTTGTGTGGGTCACTTGCAGGACACTCTTGTGGGACACTCTTACACGACACGCTTGTAGGACACTCTTGTGGGACACTCTTGTAGGACACTCTTGTAGGAAACTCTTTTGGGACACTCTTGTGGGACACTCTTGTGGGACACTCTTATAGGACACTCTTATAGGACACTCTTGTGGGACACTCTTGTGGGACACTCTTGTAGGACACTCTTGTGGGACACTCTTGTAGGAAACTCTTGTGGGACACTCTTGTAGGACACTCTTGTGGGACACTCTGCACTCTTGTGGGACACTCTTCTGGGACACTCTTGTGAGACACTCTTGTAGAACACTTGTGTGGGTCACTTGCAGGACACTCTTGTGGGACACTCTTGTAGGACACTCTTGTGGGACACTCTTGTGGGACACTCTTGTAGGACACTCTTGTAGGACACTCTTGTGGGACACTCTTGTAGGACACTCTTGTGGGACACTCTTGCAGGACACTCTTGTGGGACACTCTTGTGAGACACTCTTGGGGGACACTCTTGTGGGTCTCTTGTGGGTCACTCTTGTAGGAAACTCTTGTGGGACACTCTTGTAGGACACTCTTCTAGGACACTCTTGTGGGACACTCTTGTGGGACACTTGCAGGACACTCTTGTGGGACACTCTTACACGACACGCTTGTAGGACACTCTTGTAGCACACTCTTGTGGGTCACTCTTGTAGGACACTCTTGTGGGACACTCTTATAGGACACTCTTGTGGGACACTCTTGTGAGACACTCTTGTAGAACACTCTTGTGGGTCACTTGCAGGACACTCTTGTGGGACACTCTTACACGACACTCTTACACGACACGCTTGTAGGACACTCTTGTGGGACACTCTTGTAGGACACTCTTGTGGGACACTCTTGTGTGACACTCTTGTAGGAAGCTCTTGTGGGACACTCTTGTGGGACACTCTTGTGGGACACTCTTATAGGACACTCTTGTGGGACACTCTTGTAGGACACTCTTGTAGGACACTCTTGTAGGACACTCTTGTGGGTCACTCTTGTAGGAGACTCTTGTGGGACACTCTTGTAAGACACTCTGTGGGACACTCTTGTGGGACTCCTTGTGGGACACTCTTGTAGGATACTCTTGTGGGACAGTCTTGTAGGACACTCTTGTGGGACACTCTTGTGGGACACTCTTGTAGGACACTCTTGTAGGACACTCTTGTGGGACACTCTTGTAGGACACTCTTGTGGGACACTCTTGCAGGACACTCTTGTGGGACACTC